CGGAGGGCGCGGGCGGGGCGTCACCTTGTGGCAGAGGAAGCTGCAGCCGGCCACGCGGAAGCAGACGTCCGGGCGGCTGCCGAAGCCGTCGGGGCAGGGGAAGGGCAGCTGCCCGAGGTCACCCTGGGACGCGGGAGAGGGGCGGCCCCGTCGGCGTCGGTCGCGAAGGGGACAACGACGGCGACGAGGTTCAGAACGGGGCAGTGAGCGGCCCCGGGTCACACAGCAATTTCGAAGCCGAACTGTCTCGGGGAGGGGGGCACCCACCCCCCCCACCGCCCGGCGCACCCCCAGCCCCGCGCTGACCCGGAGCTCGGGCGGCAGCGCGCGGTCGGCCAGCGCGGCCATGTCCTCCCGGAGCCGGGGGTCCCCCGGCGGGGGCTCGATGCTCACGACCTTGACGCACGTGCCCGGCTTCGAGGCCACTGCGGGCGGGAGGGACGGCGGTGGCGGCGTCAGGGAGCCAGGCCGCGCCCCCCTCCCCCGGGCAGGATGGCCCCGCACCCCGCGCCCCGGACGCACCGAACTCGGAGACCTTCTCACACTCGGCCTCGAGGTCGCCCAGCAGGTCCCAGAGCTGGCACTGCTTGGCCAGACGCTGACAGTCCCCGACGTGCTCCACGCCCACGTCCAGGCGGCCTGGCGGGCGGGGCAGGGGGGTGGCGCGGGAGGATCGGGGTCTCAGAGGCGGGGGGACCCCGTCCCACCCCGCCCCCCGCCTGCGAGGCCGGGACTCCCGGACCCAGCCACGTGCTGCCGTCGGAAGTGCCACGGGCCCCGGGGACAGACGGGACGAGCTCGACAGACCAGGCACCCCCGGTCCCCTGTCCCGCGCCCCAAGCCACGACGACCCTGACCGCGGGGGCCCATGAAGGGTCTAGAGGTCAAAGGGCCTCCCCGGCCACCCGCCCCTGTGCCCGGCGGGTCACCTGTGTACAGGTACTGCAGCAGGGCCCCGAATGCCACGGGGTTGATCTGTGGGCAGACGGGACAATCAGAGGCCGCTGCCAAGCCCCGCTGACCCCCCTCTGCCACCGCCGCCACCACCCCGCCGCGAGGCTACCAGCGGGTGCCGGAGCACGACGACGCTCCTGCGCTTCCACTTGGTGTCCAGCATGTTGGCGAAGTAGGCGCTGCGCGCGCCCAGGACGCAACGGTGCGCCCGGAACGGCTTCCCGTGGACCAGGAAGACCACGTCGCTGTGCAGGCCCTGCTCCAGGAGCCTGGGGACAATGGAGGGGACAGCCGGGAGCAGGCGGGGGCGGGGGCCGCTCAGCGAGGGGCCGGGCGCAGGCCACCCACCCACCCACCCCGGCCGGCCGGCCGGGCTCACCGCTGCAGGAAGTCGTCGTAGTAATCGCGCCTGCGACAGGCGGCTGACACCTGCTTATAGTCGCGCAGCGCCCGGCGGATGGCGTCGCTCAGCGCCCCGTAGAGACAGCGCTCGCCGTCAAAGGTGTTGGCCTCGCATCGGGCTCCTGGCGGGGGCAGCGGGGGACGCGTGGGGGACATTCTGATCTTCCTGTCCCTCCTCCCCGCCTCTCCGCAGGCGCGGAGACCCAGAGACCCCTCCTCGGAGGACCCCGGGTTCGGCGCGACCCCATTATCCTCCCCGCCGAGGCCCGGGCGCACGCACTCGTGCACACACACGCGCTCGCGTACACGGGGGCACAACTGGAAAGCACACTCTGGTGGGGCGGGACCGCAAATGGGTTAGCAACTGACGGCAGGGACTAACAAGGACATCAGACGTGAAGGGGGGCAGTGCTGGTGGCTGCCACACGGGGAGGTCACACAGGGTCACTCTGGGACAGCAACGGTGCGTGGAGAGCTGCGTGAAGGAAGGGAGCCGGCCGTGCAGATACGAGAAAGGGCAGTGCAAGCGGGAATTGCTGGATGTGCAAAGGCCCTGGGGCAGCAGCAGAAACAGGAGCAGCAGGACAGCCAACACAGGGCAGGCCAGAGGAGGGCGGCAGACGCTGAGGGGGGTCTCAGAGGCACAGGCAGGTTTTATCCTAAATGCAGCAGGAACGCACGGGAGGATTTTAAGCCAATCAGCTTCCCTGTGAAAAGATGGAGCTGTTGCAACGTGGAGGACAGAGCGGAGGGGAGCGAGAGGGGAGGCTGGAGACCAGGGAGGAGCTGGCACTGCATCTGGGAGGGGAGACGCTGGTGGCTGGGCCCCGTGAGAGCAGCGGAGGTGGGGACACAGAAAATAGGTTTTTTTTTTTGAGACAGAGTCTCGCTCTGTCGCCCGGGCTAGAGTGCCGTGGCTTCAGCCTCGCTCACAGCAACCTCCAACTCCCGGGCTCAAGCGATCCTCCTGCCTCAGCCTCCCGA